GATTCTCTCTTTGAATAGTTTAGTTCAAGCAGGGACAGAAATTAATTACCATCCTAATGCCAAGATTTCCCATAAATTCTCAAAATGGGATTAATTATCTCAAATCATAATTTCTACTGCAAGTAATGACTTGATGCATTCAGTCATGGCATTGCAAATTATAACAGATGCTTTATCTTGTAGTATGATGATAAGTAAATTATGTTGTCCCTGTATCTCTCTTTATGTGATCTCACAGATTATGCCCTCTGCCCGATATTAATGCAGTAACATGGACTGATTTGAATTTTGTTAAATGCTAACTCCCCTTTCAGTTTGCTTCCCAAGGCCAATATCGAATAGTTACTCAATTAAATATCTTTCTAAATTTAAGGAATTTAAATTGCCACCTGCTGTTTCCAACCTTAGAAATTCCTTTTTCTGATCTGTAAATTAATTCTAGAAATTACCTACCTGACTGAACAGATGTCTAGTTTCGTTACCTGAAAGATAAATGATTTCTCTAATTTAATCTACAGATTTTTCTTTTAATGTGGAAAATGGTACGGATATGTATATCTCTGTGTATTCATCCCAAAATATCCTGGACAGTGTTCAAATAAATGTTTGTGAAAGGAAACATAATTCTTCTTCCTCTTAAATTTCTTTTCCTAGGGGATCCAGTTTCTTATAGAAAATGACCTGCTGCAGAACACTCCAGAAGACATTGCACAGTTCCTCTATAAAGGGGAAGGACTAAATAAAACTGTAATTGGAGATTATCTTGGTGAGAGGTAAACTGAAACAAATTTATCTCTTCTTTCGTTATATAGTATGTTTAAATACATGGAGAGCAGGGCTGTCGATTAATCGCAGTTAACTCACACAAATTTAAAAAATTAATCACGATTAATTGCACTGTTAAACAATAGAATACCAATTGAAATTTATTAAATATTTTTGGATGTTTTTCTACATTTTTCAAATATATTGATTTCTGTTGCAACACTGAATACAAAGTGTACAGTGCTCACTTTATATTATATTTGATTACAAATATATCCACTGTAAAAATGATAAAAGAAATAGTATTTTGCAATTCACCTCATACAAGTACTGTAGTGCAATCTCTTTATCATGAAAGTGTAACTTACAAATGTAGATTTTTGTTGTTGTGTTATAACTGCACTCAAAAACAAAACGATGTAAAACTTTAACGCCTACAAGTCCACTCAGTCCTACTTCTTGTACAGCCAATCGCTAAGACAAACAAGTTTGTTTACATTTACGGGAGATACTGCTGCCTGCGTCTTATTTACAATGTCACCTGAAAGTGAGAAGAGGCATTTGCATGGCACCTTTGTAGCCTGCATTGCAAGGTATTTATGTGCCAACTATGCTAAACATTTGTATGCCCTTTCATGCTTTGGCCACCATTCCAGAGGACATGCTGATAATGCTTGTTAAAAAAATAATTCATTAATTAAATTTGTGACTGAACTCTTTGGGGGAGAATTGTTCTGTTTTACCTGCATTCTGCCATATATTTCATGTTATAGCAGTCTTGGATGATAACCCAGCAAATGTTTGTTTTAAGAACGCTTTCACAGCAGGTTTGACAAAACTCAAAAAAGGTACCAATGTGAGATTTCTAAAAATAGCTACAGCACTAGACCCAAGATTTAAGAATCTGAAGTGCCATCCAAAATCTGAGAGGGATGAAGTATGGAGCATGTTTTCAGAAGTCTTAAAAGAGCAACACTCTGATGTGAAAACTACAGAAACTGAACCACCAAAAAAGAAAATTAACCTTCTGCTGGTGGCATCTGACTCAGATAAATAAAATGAACATGCAATGGTCCGCCCTGCTTTTGGATTGTTATCGAACAGAATCCGTCATCAGCATGGACTTATGTCCTTTGGAGTGGTGGTCGAAGCATGAAGGGACATATGACTCTTTAGTGCATCTGGCACATAAATATCTTGCAACGCCAGCTATAACAGTGCATGTGAACACCTGTTCTCGCTTTCAGGTGACATTGTAAACAAGACGTGGGCAGCATTATCTCCTGCAAATTGTAACCAAACTTGTTTGTCTGAGCGATTGGCTGAACAAGAAGTGGGACTGAGTGGACTTGTAGGTGCTAAAGTTTTATATTGTTCTTGTTTTAATGCAGTTATTTTTTACAGTACTTGTATTCAGTGAGTTGAAAAATATTATTTATTTTGTTATCTACAGTGCAAATTTTTGTAATAAAAATAAATATAAAGTGAGCACTGTACACTTTGTATTCTGTGTTGTAATTGAAATCAATATATTTGAAAATATAGAAAACATCCAAAAATATTTAAATGGTATTCTATTATTGTTTAACATCACGATTAATCGTGATTAATTTTTTTAATCGCTTGATTGCTCTAGTGGAGAATTACACTTTTTATCAGTCTCTCTCTCACCTTCACTGGCTGCATGAGGTACATTGTATCCTGAGGGTTATAAAAGTTATATTGGGAAGTAAAAGCACTGTGCTATAAGAAGCTTTTTTAAAAAATGGATGGATTATGAAAATATCACACATTGCTTACACAATTCATTACTCTGAAAAATAAAATAGTTTTTCTAGATTTGGTTATTGTGCAAGATTTAATGTCATAAACTTCTGGAAGGTTTCAGAATCCTATTTCAACAATCTTGTAGTAGTTCTTAATGATCTGCCCAGACAAAGAATGCTTCATGATGTTAGTAACTAGATGATGAGAAAATTGCTCATCATTCAAAAGGTTGGTGCCTAGACTAATGATAGTCAGCTGTTTTTATTTAGTGTTGTCTTCTTCCCTGCACATATACATCCTATTAACGTTAATGGGTATTAAGTAGGTACCTAAAGGGGAGAAGGCATCTTAGCTTTTATCATGTACAGCACAATAAATATGCAGATTACTCCAGTTGTAATGCAGTACAGAAAGTATTTGTTTAAAAAAAAATTCAGCTGCAAAATTGTATCACTGGTAAAACCTGTAAACTAATCTCTTTCTTCATTGAAAAGACTACAGACATAACTCTTGCCTGTATTTTTTATCAAAATCAGATGCCAGTTAGAGTTTTAATAGCCTAGTCACTTGGGCCTTACTCTTGTAAACTGATCTTCTCTGCCATAACACCCTTAAGCCCACATGGAATCTATTTACAGGATTGGGGTTTTAGCTTGCAGTTCGCTATAGGCCCTTAGAGTTAAGTAGGTATAATGAAAGTTTATACTGTAACATGGTGCACAGTATGTAGGAATTTCAACTTTTTGCATAAACACGAGAACTAGACCTCTGAGAAACATTCCAAACATCATTTTGAATATTTCAACTACAAGTAATGAAAATGTAGATTTTTGTTTTTTATAGATCGCTATACCTCCACTATGCATTATTAACTTATCTCCATAATTACAATAGAGTTTGTGTAAAGTAATCCATGTTTCTTCTCTTTTTCACTCTGGCATCTGATCTTGAAATAATATTTTTTCCTCTCAGGGCCTGATCCTCAAACCCTTAGTCATGCAACTAGTCCTTGCTCACATCAATAGTGCCACTGAAGTCACTGTGATTATTTTCATGAGTTGGTGTCTGCAGGATCATAGCAAACTAGCTCAATTTACAATTCAAAAGATTATTTCCCACCTCTTCCCATCCCAAACCTGCCAACACTGCAGTCTTCATCTAGGATCTGAAAAAAATCAAGCTGTGCTGTTTGTCTCTTCCTAACTAATCCCTAAAATTTCATTGGTTTCAGTTGTGTGAGTATACTGTGTCTACGCAACTCAGTTTCCATCTTCTTGAATTCTGAACAGTTAACTGCAGACTAATTTAGTAATCAACATTAAATGTCAAATTACAACTCAGAAATTAGTGTCAATCTACAGAGTGGCAATTAAAACATGAGAAGACCTGAAAATATGACTGCAATGATATGTGGCTAATATTTGGCCAGAAAACCATGGAAAATATCCATCGTGAAGTCAGAAATGTGGATATTAAAAAAGCTAATTTTTATGCAACATTTCTGCTTGCTGTGTACATCTAACTTTACTAATGTAATCAAATTTTTACTTCTCTTAGCAATGTTGTGCCAGTTCAGCTATGCAAAAGTGAAGTGAATTCTGTTCTGTCCCTTGAACCATCCTAAAACTGTTGTCAGTTACTATTACTGGTGAGGAAGGAGGTAAACAACACCACAACTTGATTTTCCCTCTCCCTCTACCCCCAAAGTCCTAGATATAGACTACACTACTGTCAGGTTTGGTATTGAAATTAAATTGCATGTGGACCCAGGTTGTTCTTGTTGTGTTAAATTTCTGTTTGCATTTCAAAAATTACATACATATTGCCTACTTAAACTCATTCTAACTTTGGTTTTGTTTAGAAGTTTAAGGGACATACAGGGGGAAATTAAATTCAATACCTGTTATGTTTTTAGCGTGATCTTGGGAAAGAAGCATTCAGTGCAGTGATTTCTCAGAATGGACTAAGGATACTGTACGCGTCAAGTGGTATTTTATTATTCCTTTTTAGGTCTGTATTTAGGGAGCAGGCCTTATTAATAGCTGTTGATTTAACAGTTTGGCAGTGATGGTTCTGTCCTATAGGAGAAGGGGATGAGAGAGAGAGGGGGGAACATGACTCTTTCCCCCTCTAGTATGCTGTTGCTAAAGAAAGCATAGTAATGTTTTGTTGTTCTTCGAGTGCTTGCTCATGTCCATTCCATGCTAGGTGTGGGTGCGCCGCTTGCACTGTTGACAGAGATTTTTCCCTTAGTGTTATCCGTTGGGCCGGCTCTGGCACCCTCAGGAGCCACATGCTTATGCGCTGGTATAAGGGGCGCTGCCGGCCCTGCACCCACTTGGTTCCTTCTTACTACCCATGACGGTTGCTGGAACGATCCTTCTTGCTTTGGAAAGGCTTCTTCCTAGTGATTTTTAAACTTTTTTCTTACATTCATAGTTATCATAGTGTAGTGTCTATATTTCAAGTAGTGTGTGTGTGTGTGTGTATATATATATTTAGTTAGTTAGTTAGTTAGTTCCTATTGTGAGGGACTTCTTTGCCCCAGTGGCCGGGCATGCCCCGGTCCCCAGGCTTCAAGCCTTGTGCCGCCTGTGGCAAGCATATGCCCGTGAGTGACTTGCACTCCAGGTGCTTAAAGTGCCTGGGCAAAACTCACACGAAGGACAAGAGCCAAGTCTGTTGGGACTTCAGACCCCGCACCAAAAAAGACGGGAAGATCAGACTGAAGGCTATCCCCAGGGAAGCCACTCTCAGACCTGTCTCAGAGACAAGCTTCTCCGATTCGGTGCTGAGTACTTTGGTGTCGCTGCGAAGTACTCCCATGGCAATGAGCTCTTCCTGGCGCTGTTCTCCATCTCCGGTGCGGAGGAAGAAGCATAAGAAGCAGTGGGCCGAGAGAGAAGCAAGGAGAAGGCAGTTGAGTGAGACCCAGGCCTGGCCACTCTTCTGCCCCTGGACCCATGTCGGCACCATCAACTCTGCTGAAGGCGTTAAGCCTGGTGCAGGGTTCTCCGCTGAGACCAGGAGGCCACTACGGTGCCTGTGGACTGACAGTATCATTGACTCCAGAGGCTTTTCAGGTGGCTAGGGATCTTCTCTCTCTCTCGGTCCCACCAAGGCCAATGGGACACCTACCAGCTCCGGCGTTCGGAAGCAGGAGGGAACAGGGATCCCAGCGTCCCAATCTCCAGGACACCACCAGTCCCTGGAGCCCTGTCACTGTATGGAGGTGGAAGCGGGTACCGCTCCCCCATGGTTGCCAAGAGAAGAATCCTCTTCGGAATCCGAAAGGGAACCTTATGTACTGCCAAAAGCCCACCATCAATACCCAGCCTATGCTCCACTGAGCTTCAGTACCAGTCCTCCGGCAGGCACCTGGCCAATGAGTTACTGGCTGAAGCAGTGGCCCTAATGGAACCCCTGGGGGTCCCATCCCCCCCCCGTACCGGATCCTTCCTACCACTGCTCCTACTCAGTGGTTTCTGAAGGATGGGCTACCGCTCCTTCCTGCTCAAATCCGGTACTGACCCTGTTGCCTCCATTGACATAGTCCAGGCAGACAAAGAGGAAGGAGCCCTACCACTGGTGCTAGCCCCCTCCTTCTCCTCTCCAGATGAGGCTGGTGCGGATCCCAGTAGCCTGCTTCCACAGAATGATTTCAGGGCCCATCAGGACATTCTAAAGCAGGTTGCTACAAATGTTGGCCTAGAAATTGAGGAGCTCAAAGAGACATTGCACCGCCTTATTGATATCCTGGCTGCAGCAGCTCCATCCAAGGTGGCTCTGCCCATCAGTGAGGCAGTGATGGGGCCAGTCAAGGCCCAGTGGCAAACTCCTTCTTCTCTGGCCCCCCACTTCAAAAAGGGCAGAGAAGAAGTATTAAGTGCCAGCAAGTGGGTTCGAATACCTGTACTCGCAGCCCCCAGGGTCCCTGGTGATGTCTGCAGTGAACGAAAGGGACAGGCAGGGCCAGTCAAGTGCTACCTCAAAACAGAGAGATGTCGAGAGACTGGACTTTTCAGAAGAAAGGTTTATTCCACTGGTAGCCTCCTGCTGCGTATCTCCAACCAGCAAGCGTTGCTGGGGAGATAGGACTTTATCTATGGGACTCCCTGAATAAATGCAAAGATTCCCTGCCCCAAGAGTCCAGCACCTCTCTCCAGGTGGCTCTGGACGCTGCTGACTCAGTGGCCCAGACCATGGCCTCTGTAGTCACCTTGAGGTGCTGTTCCTGGCTTCAAGGGCCACTCTGTTTCTTAGGCCTGTACACTCTGTCTGCTTCCAGCAGTCTCCTTGGTTCTTGGTGCCTCCAAGAAAAGAGAGGGGTTATAGATGGTACCAACCACTTCCGCCCAACTCAGCCTCCCAGTGGGGGTCTCAGAGATACTCTGGTGGACCCAAGCTGGCCTTTTGAAGGTGCACCCGAGGGCGCTGTACCCATCACTGTTTCAAATCACTGTTTCAAATCCGCCTCCCCTTTTATTTTCAGACTGTCTATCTCGTCAGCCTGGCATGGTCATTCATAACATCAGACTTTTGGGTCCTGAACACGGTGACAGCTGGTTATACCCTGCGGTTTCTATTCACCCCTCTCCCACTTCCCCTTCCCCTCCCTTTTCAGGACCCCTTATCATGAGCATCTCCTCGTCCAGGAAGTGCAATCCTTCCTACTGAAAGGGGCCGTGGAGCAAGTTCTTCAAGACTTGAGAGGGAAGGGATTCTACTCCCGGTACTTCCTAATCTCAAAGCCCAAAGGGGGCCTCCGGCCTATCTTGGACCTGCATCACCTCAATAGATACCTTAATGAATTGAGTTCCACATGGTCTCCCTTGCCTCCATCATTTCCTCCTGGACCCAAGAGACCGGTACACTGCCCTCGACTTAAAGGAGACATATTTTCACATTTCTATCTTCCGTGGCCACAGAAGATTTCTCAGGTTTATAGTGGGTCAGCGCCACTTTCAATTCACTGCCTTCCCCTTTGGTCTATTGGCAGCCCCACGGGTATTAACAAAGTGAATGGCGGTTGTAGCAGCCTTAGTCAGGCAGCAAATGGTACAAGTCTACCTGTACCTTGATGACTGGCTGATCAAAGGTCGGTCACAGGCTCAAGTACAAAACAGTATTAGCACAGTCCAAGTCACCTTCAGGACACTGGGCCTGCTGATAAGCAGAAGTCAACTCTTGTCCCGGTTCAGAGAATAGAATTTATCAGTTCGGTGCTCGACTTGATCCAAGCCAGGCTTTCCTGCTGGAAGCCCATTTCCAGGCCAAGTCAGAACTGATATCCAAAGTCATGGCCCACCCAATCGCAACAGCTCGGGGTGTGCTTCAGGCTACTGGGTCACATGGTGGCTTGTACTTACGTGGTTCAATACGTGACTCAGACCCCTCCAGATGTGGCTAGCATCAGTTTATTCCCTGAGCAGACACCACTTGAACTCAGTGCTCACAGGCCCTCGCCTCCCTGCACTGGTGGAAAGACCCCAGGTCGGCAATGATGGGGGTGCCCTTTGTTACCCCACAACCATCCGTATCCTTAGTCTCAGATGCGTCAGACTTAGGGTGGGGAGCCCACCTCAACAACCTCAGGGCCTTCGGTCCCAGGAAGAACTCTCGCTGCACATAAACATCAGGGAGCTCAGGGCGGTTCGCTTAGCATGCCAACTGTTCCTTCCCCAGATCTCAGGCACGGTGGTACAAGTCCTGGCAGACAATACAGTGACCATATTCTATAGCAATAAGCAAGGAAGGGCTCCATCCTTGGCCCTGTGTCAGGAGGCTGTCCACCTGTGGGACTTCTGTGCGAGACACTCCATCTCAAGGCGTCACATCTCTTAGGAGGCCGGAATGTATTGGTGGATCACTTCAGCTGATCCTTCTCCTCTCACCACGTGTCGTCCCTTCACCCAGAGGTCACCAGATTCATCTTCCAAAAGTGGGGGGCCTCCCCAGGTGAACCTGCTTGCCAACAGGCAGAACAGAAAATGTCAGCAGTCTTGTTTGCTGCGTGGGCACAGCTTAGGCTCCCTCTCGGATGCCTCCCTGCTCTTGTGGGCCGGCCGCCTACTGTATGCTTTTCGCCTGATTTCCTTGGTTCACAAGGTTCTTCTAAAAATCAAACTGGACAAGGTAAGAGTTACCCTGAGAGCACCAGCATGGCTGTGCCAGCATTGGTTCAGCATGCTCCTGGACCTCTCGGTGGCAGCTCCACTCTCTCCCGCTCCGTCTGCATCTGATTTCACAAGACCATAGCCGGTTACTTCATCTGAATCTCGCCTCCCTGCATCTAACTGCTGTATGGCTGAACCCTGAAGAACAACCCTGCTTGGAACAGGTTTGGCAGGTCTTGCTAGGTTGTAGAAAGCCTTCCGCCAAGGCTACCTACTTGGGCAAGTGGAAATGTTTTGCTTTTTGGGCTTCCGAATGTGATCTCTTTCCATCTCGATCTTCCTTTCAGTCTATCTTGGACTATTTGCTCCATTTAAAACAGCAGGACCTGGCTCTCTCATCTGTTAAGGTACAGGAAATAACGGTCTGGTTTCTCAAGGGCTTGGAAAGACTGTATCCTCAAGTTTGCAAACCAACTCCTCCCCCCCATGGCACTTAAACCTGGTCCTGTCAAAGCTTATGGGGCCTCCCCTGTCAAGCCGTTAGTAGCCCTGCTGCTTCTATTCAGGCTTGCTGCAAGCAAGTGAATATCCCGCCTCCGGCCATCGTAACCATTTGTTCCACGAGAGTCCGAGTTTCGTCAACAACATTCCTCGCGCTGGTCTCAATCCAGGACATCTGCAGAGCTGCGACCTAATCTTCGGTGCATACATTTGCGTCCCACTATGCCATCATCCAGCAGGCCTGAGACAGTGCCAGTTTCAGAAGAGCAGTGTAGCAATCAGCATGTCTGTAAACTCCGAGCCCACCTCCTGGGGTACTGATTGTGAGTCACCTAGCATGGAATGGACATGAGCAAGCACTTGAAGAAGAAAAAACTGTTACTAACCTTCTGTAACTGTTGTTCTTTGAGATGTGTTGCTCATGTCCATTCCATGACCACCCTCCTACCCCTCTATCAGAGTCAATGGCAAGTAGGAACTGAGATGGTGCGGGGCCAGTGGAACCCCTTATACCAACGTATAAGCATGTGGCTCCAGAGGGTGTTAGAGCCGGCCCAATGGATACCACAAAGGGGAAAATCTCTGGCAATGGTGCATGCGGCACGCACACACCTAGCATGGAAGGGACATGAGCAATGCATCTCGAAGAACAAGAGTTATGGAAGGTTAGTAACTATAGGTGCCGAATTCGTGGGTGCTTGGTGCTTAGCACCCACTGGCAGCCAGCTCCCCTCTCCCTCCCCCCAGCGCCTCCCGCCCGATGGGATCACCTGTTCCGCGACGTGTGGGAGGGGGAGGAGTAGGAACTGGGCGCGCTTGGGGGAGGGGGCAGAACTGGGTGGGAAGAGGCGGGGTGGGGCCTTGGGGGAAGGGGTGGAGTGGGGGCCTGACCTGGGATGGAGCAGGGGCGGGGTGTGGGGCTGAGCAGGGGTTGAGCACCCCCAGGGAAAGGAGGAAGCCGGCGCCTGTGTTAGTAACCGTTTTTTCTCTGGGAATATTGCTGTAAGAAGTTACAAAATAGCATTTCGGCAAAGGATTATAGCTGAACATATACAAGATACCATGAAACTCTCTAGTCTTTCCATTCATTTATCCAGACTGCTTGAGGTTCCCATTTCAAGACAGGTGCAACAATAACGGTTGAACAAAGAGAATGAGTCATTTTGAAGATCATTTAGATAGAGTTAAAATCAATGTAGAGTGACAGGCTCTTGCCAGCTCCTGTTTTTAATGGCAGCAGCAGCACTTTCTAGTCCTACTAGGTTAAATTTCATTTTAGCAAAACTGGGAGAAGAATCTTGCACTTAAAATATCCCAAAGCTAAATATGTGTTAGAAATATTAATGATGGCTTCATTTGATTAACGATGGATTCTATTTGCCTGGTTAGTTTCTTACTTTCTTTCTATCTTTTGCATTAATAGGAAGCAGTTCTTTAAGTTTATGGTTTGGTGTAGTAATTCTCTATTGTCATTTTGTTTTTTTCCCCTCAGAGATGAATTTAATATTAAAGTTCTTCAGGCTTTCGTTGAACTCCATGAGTTTGCTGATCTCAATCTTGTACAAGCCTTAAGGTGAGTGCATTATAATTGTCTTTATCAAACTTCATATTTAATTAAATCTAAGTATATAGATGATGATGATTCACTCAAGCAGCTGATCTTTGACTTGAATGTATGATTTACTCTGTATCTTGTTAGTAAACAAATCTTCATGTTTCACTCTTTTTTGCTTGTTTGCATATACATTGCCTTTGAACTCTTAATACGTGAAATTAATGATTTCACACAAATGCAAAGAGCCAAAGACCAGTTTCAGATGAACCTAAGAACGGCCATACTGGGTCAGACCAAAGGTCCATCTAGCCCAGTTTCCTGTCTTCTGACTGGCCAATGCCAGATGCCCCAGAGGGAATGAACAGAACAGGTAATCATCAAGTGATCCATCCCCTGTTGCCCATTCCCAGCTTCTGGCAAACAGAGGCTAGGGACACCATCCCTACCCATCCTGGCTAATAGCTGTTGATGGACCTATCCTCCATGAAATGATGCTTGATGTGCCTGCCAAATAGCTCACATGTGCAAATTTTCTGAGATAAGCAAAAAAGTCCCTGACTCTGAATTGGTGATTAGATTCCATTGTAAAGAGAATATTGTCAAAGCAAAGTATTGCTTCTACTTTTCCCCATCGCTTCCTTCCCACCACCTCAGAATTAAATTCTTAACATATTTATTCTTGTTAAGTAAATAATAGGCTTCTTATTTTTCACAGGTTGGCAGCAGATAGATTAAAATATGTAGTGCTTGAATTTGGTTGTTAACCTGGTGTAAATCCAGATTAATTTCAATGAATTGCCAGGGTTTAGAGAGTGCTGTCAAATTTGTAGCTGGAAGGGGCTCCCACCGCAAAACAGACAGGTTAAAATGTTGATATGGTCTTTCCTACACATGCTGCATTCTCATGTGGTGCGTCATAAGAGCAGCTTTATGCTGACTAAGGCTTGTAGTGGTGATAACTTGAGCTGCCTGAGGAATCAGGAGGTTTCCTCTGACTCCATGGTTCTGTCTGGAATACACAATACTTCCATCTCCTGCCTCTTAATAGCAAACCTCAATCCACTCTTCCGCAGGCTGCTGCTGTTAATTATTTTATTATAGTAGCTCCCAAAATCCTCAATCAGGATTGGGCCCCATTGTGTTGGGAGGTGTACAAACATAGTTTAAAAAAAAAACTACAGAATTTATAATCTGAGGACAAGATGCAACAGCTGGGTGTAGCACACAGAATAAAATGTGGCAAATGGGAAGGTACTGTAGAAAGGAACACCTGGTTAATAAATGGCCTAGCAATGTGAATGTGGACATGGTTTTTTTTAAAAGATGCAAATGAATAAGCGATTTTTAACTCTCTCCAGAAGTGCACCATTTGCAGTTATTTCCTATTGCTTTCCCCTACCATATCCAGCTGTTCGGGCAGAGCAGTTTGGGGCTTGTGGGAAGGAGACAAGCTTTGTACTTAGGACCAGTCAAATAGTTTTTCAGCGGGACCCACCTTTGCTTGGTCTAATTGCCAATGGAGAGACAGCAATGTAAATCCCGAGTAATTGAGAGTAGAAGTTTCCCAGAGAATGAAAATTCAGTTTAGATGCTATACAGGGAATGCAAACATTTATGTTTTATCATATAGGACAGTGGGGAGTACAGTGACTTATCTATATATGCAGTATTATTTTCACTTGAGTTTTCACAAATCTTGAATTTTATAGGTGAAACTGAAAGGCTGTGGAAGATACTAAAATTGACCAATATTGATTTATTGCAGCAAAACTTCAGTTATGTTGTACCAAATCCATAAAGTTATCAAACCAAACACAAACAAATGAACAAACAAACAACAAAACAACTATAGTGCAATATGGTTTAGGAAGCTGCTTGATTTCATGCATCCTTTTCCTAAAATGTTCTCTCTTATTTTATATTAGTCTGGCAAGCTTTCGCTTTCACTTGGTTTCTGCACCTAAAATATGCTGTAAGTTAATTTAGTACTAGAGCTGTGTGAAGAATTTAAAGATTTTGAAATTTAGCCTCATTCCAAATTGCAGTGAAAACCAAAAATTTAAAAATTCTCCAAAGGAAAATTCCTTTTAAAGAATTTTTTTCAGATTGTTCAAAATGCTTCATTTAGACAAATTGAAAGGTTTATTTTGATTTTGACTCTTTGACATTGTCAGGACTTCTTCCTGTTTTTGTTTTGTTTTTGTAAACAAAATTTGTGCAAAATTGGTTCGATTTCATGAAGCATTTTGACAAAACTGCATATTTCAACAAAATATGGCTCCATCCAAGTTTCTCAGACCAGCTCTCTTTAGAACACGTGGCAAATGTTGGATTGCTGGTTCTGAGATGAAATTCTTCATTTCATGCACTGAAGAGGTGCAGCATATAGGTAGTGCTAGTTCACTCTCCATGCCCAGTCAACTCTTCATTCTCTCTGAGACTGCCAGTAAAGGGCCATTTGTGTTGAGATATATGTCCACCAGGAATGAGCTTTAAACCATTAAAATTAATTTCATTTATGCTACCAAACTGTAATCTTAGGCAACTTCTTTCAGTCACTGCTGATCTGGAGTGGTTTAGAACTGGCAGCTTGGATATGAAAGGTTCTGTGACCCATTACAAATGTCCTAAGATACTCTGTTTTGCTTGCAAATATTTTTGGTCTTCACTTTCATGAATTGGGAAGCTTAATGTTTAAAATGTCAACAGGGCATCCCTCCTGAAAGGAGATTCCGTCTCTATACAGAAGTGTTGTAAAAATATCAGTCACTGGAAGTATTTTTTAGACTGGCACTTTTTTGTACCTAATCCTTGGTTTCTTTTTTGACATCATTATCTTATGGACGTGGATCTCGTATTTACTTTCTGTTTTAAGAACGTAAAATTGTTTCAGCTGGCCAGCTTCAAAGAAGTAAAGCCACAAACAAGAGGCTGTGCTGTCTGCCCTAACTTTGCCTTACAGTTGTAGCTTTGATGGTTGGACTCAAAAACATGAATAATAATTCCTAAACTGATATGCCAACAGGAAGTGTGAAAAACATTTTATGTGGTATAGCATTTGAGAACATCACTTTCCTATAAACTCTGTGTTAATGCCAATATTGCTGTTCTATACTATTTTGGATCTTATTTTAATGACCATTTGTAATCTACAGTTCTTTTAATTTTAGATCAGTTCTTGCAATCATTTTGCTTAACATTTTATTGCAGCTTTATATCCCTGTCAGTTCGATATATATTTTTTTTAAGGGCAATCCAAGAAGAAGGCAAAACCTACTTTTATTTCATACTTGTAATAGGAACACTTTATTTCCTATATCTGAATTTAAATCCCATTGCAGTGATATTGAGAGGTCACATTTCCTTTTTAAGATCTGGCCATGATCGCGTCGTCTGTCCCTTATCCATCCCAGTCAAGAAGGGCTCTCGCTATCCCAAGCATTGACTCATTATGTCTGGTTGGTTCAAATGAAGATATTGAGTTTTAGTCCACCTTTTTTGGTTCTAGGCTATTGTGTATAATACAGCCCTCTTTTCCTTTCAACAAAGTCCTGAGAAGAATATGCTCCTTTTAGCAGTGAAGAAGCACTGTGGTACAGCTAGTTAGAAAGCATGGTCTCCTATGTATTTCCCGCTTCTGACAACATGGAAAAGGAGAGAATTGCAAAATTTGTACCAGAATATGTGGTTTTGCCAGAATATGTTGTGTTATCTGTGAGCATGCATTGCTGTTGGCTGAGTGCTGAGTTAAATATTTTCTAATTGTTTATGAGTTAAATTTTGAGATTTGTTTTAAAATAACTTCTCATTTTATTTACAAATTACTAATTTCTGCTTAGAAGCTGATTATTGCCAATATATGTCTAATGTATAAATATTGGAATGGATCTTATTTTACTGAAGTGTTTATACTTCCCTTTTATAGGCAATTCCTGTGGAGTTTCAGACTTCCAGGAGAGGCTCAGAAAATTGACCGTATGATGGAAGCTTTTGCTTCACGCTATTGCCTTTGTAACCCTGGAGTCTTTCAGTCTACAGGTTAGTCATGATGCATTTTCTATCAGAATCACCTTAGTATATAATTTATCAGATCATGTGTTAAACTATCTCGAATTCAAAGAGAAGGCGGCAAACTTGGAAGTCCAGCCTAAGACAATATGTGAAATGAAAAACAAGAACGATCTGAGGTGTGGGCAAAACAAAGAGCCTAATCCTGCACTACTTCTTATTTCTAAGTAAGAGGTGCAAGATTGGATCAAAAACATCTTTCTTCCTAGCAGTGTTAAAACAATGGTTAAACAATAGTTAAATAAACTATTAATAAAGTGCAACATATCATACAAACTGAAAGGTAGAAGATGCTACAGCAAAATGCTGCTGCATCAAAATAAGCAATATTTCTGAGATGATTTTTGGGGACCAGTTTCTGCAAATGCCAGAATGTAATGCCTCATCACCGATGTCTGAAGTATAAATGCAAAAGTAAAACACGTTAAAAATAAAACTGAAGGGACTAACGTTAGGAGAACCACTTGGCCAAAAAAAAAAAAAAGAAGGGGAAAATAACCGAACATTTAAACCTGGACCCTTTAAAACAGATTTACAAACCCAGTGCAGTGTTGAAGGAGCAAGGGGGGATGGGGTGGGGGGAGAGTAACCTGGAGCAAATATGTTTGAAGATGAAATGTGCACAAATAACCTACATGGTTTGTGTCACAAAAAGCAAATACAAACTCTCAGCTGATGGATGGCATGTTTGAATGTTAACAGGTCCAGTGTTTAGAGGGAGCGTTCAAAAGTTTTCCCCCGATCTGAATCCTTAAGTCATTTTCTCTTTTTAGAAAATATATATATGGCCATGGCCATGGTTCAGACCAAAGAACTCAAGACTTACTCTTGTATGTAGGGTTTTGTTGTTTTTTGGGGGGGGGAGGTGGAGACACACATAATTCCTTTACTTTGCTATTCAGAACTTCCTGGGGTTTCTTTTACAGGCTACTGTATATACAGTACACAGCAATAATTCCTTTTCAATGTTATTTCAGATACATGCTATGTGCTATCATTTGCAATCATTATGTTAAATACTAGTCTACACAACCATAATGTAAGAGATAAACCAACAGTGGAGCGGTTTATATCTATGAATCGTGGCATTAATGAAGGTGGGGACCTTCCAGAAGAACTGCTACGGGTAAGTCGCATTAAGATGACCAAGTGGAACCTTGTGGTTTTTGAACCGGGGCTTAGAAGCAAGTGCAACGATTCTCTGACCAATCTGTCAATTAGTGTCTCAAGATCATTTTGTGTGATGCAGCTTTGACAACCAAGTACCATGAGCTTGCGACATACCTCTGCCTCTTGAGGGACTGAGAGGAAGGAACACCTTGCTTCACTCAACAAGCAACCTCTTTGGCTTTTTGAGCAATGTTGATTGGATATATCACTACAGCCAGTCTGTCTTGATTGGAATCTGCTCTATTCAACATAAGGTTGAGTGTGGGGAGAATAAAGGGGGGAAAACAGTAGAGATCACTGAGGATCCAAAGATGACCATCATAACATACTGTGGAAGAAAAATAATGATACAAAGATGTCAAACATTTTATTGAGATGTTCAAGTTAGTGATGTCTAATATTTTTCAAAAACAATTTTTTTTAGTGAAGCTTGTATTGAAAAAAACTATTGAGAATATGAAAGCTCTGGAAAAAATGAGTGCCAAACTTCTTAAGAAAACTATTTCTTTACTGAGAAATACACAGGAAATCTTCAAAAGGGGACACTTATTTGCAGAGAAACTATATCTGCTTTTAACTTCCTTTATGTGTAGACTGTGGTGAATACTGCTTAGAGGAGGAATGGTTCCAGTTTCTCTGGGAGATGTTCCTAGTTCATTTGTATATAAGTAGTCAGAGAGAATGGAATCTCTTGGTTATCTGATGTACATGTTGCTGAATTTTTTTTGTTTTCTTCCAGAATTTGTATGAAAGTATTAAAAATGAGCCATTTAAAATTCCAGAAGATGACGGAAATGATCTAACACATACATTTTTTAATCCAGACAGAGAAGGTTGGCTTCTGAAATTAGGTTAGTAGAAGAGCAATTTCTATAATACTTTGCTTTGTGTGTGAGTGATGTGTACGCCACTTTCCTTGCTAACTGCTTTGTTGTAAATCTAATAGGATTAAATTAGTAATAATTCCTGCTTAAAAATATATGATCTAAAAATCAATAAATCCTTTACACTGTTTTGTGTAATTGCTAATTCTGAGAAGTATAAAAAGGAGACGTAATCTTGTCACTTGAATTTTGAAGTGGAGTTTGATTTCTGGTACGTGAGAACTGAAACCTCAGCAGCAGAAAGGAAGCTCCATTTACTTTTTACAAATCCCAGTGACTGAAAAATAACAAATCTATGTGAAACCATTCCAGAAAACTGTACAATCACTTCAGCTCAGTTTTCTGCACAAAAAGCAATGCATTTATTTTCAAATAGTTGTTTTTGTATGTCTTCATTTTTCCATATTATTTGTGTGTTTCTGTTGGTTTGGTTTTGGCTATGATTTTTAATGAGTGGTTTAAATGTGCCTTCTTGTTTTCCTTATGGCCTATGACCTATCACCTTTCTGTTCTGTGACTGGCTGTCTCTGCTTATTCTGCATTAGGAGGTACGTACCTGATGGCTTTCCAGCTCCCCCCCCTTGTTCAGTTGCTCATTCTTTTTTTATTTTTCTTCTTCTTTGTTTGTTTCTTAAATCAAATTTATTGTAGCACTATGCTTCTCATGTAATGTCACTAACTTTAGCCCCAGTGGGACTTTACTTGTACATAATGTATGCTTGTACATTATGGTGTTAATAATTTACTATCTCCCCCCTTGAGATTCTTCTGCAAAATAAGACTATATACTTTGTAAAGCAACGCAGTGATAGTTAGTGTTTCAGATTGCTTCACAGCATCCTTCAGACTCATTGAGGTATACAAATGAGAGGAGTACTTTTCGCAGCAGAGAAGTGCAGTTATCTTATAACACAAGTTCTAAAATACGTTTTGTTACTCGTATGAACATTTTCTGTCAGAATGTTGAAAGGCTTATTTTAAACAAAATAGCCTATAGCTGAAATGTGCATGTAGTTACCCCATAATAACTTCCTTGTATGGGTTTTTTTGTATTTAGTTTATTTAAATTAAATATAAAAACCCCTCAGAGTTCAGGGTTCTGAAATCTCGGGCAGTTTGTACCATGCTGGCACTGCAGCTCTAAGCTGCTCTGATTTTTTTGCAGACACTTTTGAAGTTGATGTGGCTTGCTTATCCATTTGAGTTTAATGAGGGAGCCAGCTGCAAAGGGTAGCCATTTTCCTGATTAGAACAGACTCTAAAACTTGGTTCTAGTTTTTTTAAACGTTCTTTGTTTTGTTTTAAAAGACTGATTTCAAGACCAAAATCTGCTCAATTTCAGAGCCAGATTCTGGCTGCTCTTGTATAAGAGGAACCTTGCGCCAGCTCAGAGGCAGCCAAGGTCCTGATGATCCCTGAGTGCCAGGTCAGTGGGAATTAAAGAGCAGCCAGCAGCACTAGGTAGAGGGGAGAGCAAGGGCTCACCTCCATCCATGCTAGCTAGACGCTGGCACTGGCAGGAAATACAAGGATTGAGACACTCCCAGGGGCTGTTCCAGAGCTGTTCAAGAGCACTGGACCTGTGAATCCGTGACAGCTGGTTGTGGCACCCTTGGGGAAAAAGATGTAACAATGATAGCTACTGCATGTGCTTCCCCAGCTTCTCTGTGCTCTGTAGGCAGAATGCCTCCAGCCACAACAGCTGGTGTGGTCTCGTATCATGCTGGTTTTATAGGAACTGATGTGAAAATGGCTGTGGATTGTAGATAGATGTATTAAATATTGATAGGAACTATTATGTAGTGATATCCATAGTCCATAAATTCACTCAGTTCAACTTTTTACTTCTGCTTCTGTGCTAGTAACAACCAAGTGAACGGAAGAGTGTATGGGCACAAGTGCTTTGGCAGTATCCGTTTATTAAGAATACATTCTAATAAGCTCAGCAATAGGGGCCACCTCCCAAAATATTGTAGCCTTGGGGGGAGAGCTATTAGACACATCGCTAATTAGCTACTTCAGGACCCCATAGTTTCAGGTGTTAAGCACCTTCAATTTCCATTGACATCAATGGGAGTTGGGGGTGCTTGGCACCTCTTGCAATGGGGCCCTTAGAACACAATGCCCGGAGCAAGGGCTGCAGAAGGCCATTTAAAGTAGAGACCCCCATAAATTTGCCCTCCTTGCCTGACCCCTCTATTTCCCTCTGAGGTGCCTCCCCCACAAGCAGCCTGGCCCTCCTTCCCATGAGCCCTTATACGCATTCCCTCCAATTTGAGTAAGTGGCATTGCAAGCTGTGTGTGGGGTTACAGCACCTGTCAGGTTCGGCCTGGCCAAAAAGTGGTTGGGCCATTGCCTGTGTGCCGCCCCCCTCCCCCCCATATGTGGCCTATGGCCGGAAGGCTTGCTGTGTGGTTGTCTCCATTACTTCATCTGCAGATGTTACGAACACTGCAAAATCCTCAAATACCCTCTTTGTGTTCCTAAGTAAAAAAGCAGAGCCTCTTCCTGTTGCTGTTTGAAGACATAAATGGCTTAACAGGCACAGTATTCATAGTTGAGACAATTTGAAAGATGACTTGAAGAGCTGATACATTATCCATTCAACAGTATGTGGCAGTGCTCACCTCAACTGAAAGGATTTCTTAAGACAAGACTTCAAGAACGAGAAATATTTTAGCACAAAAGCCATCCAGATAAGTCTGTTACCACTCAAAATATTAATATTACAGTTTTTTAAAATCTAAAACTTTTGATGATGTTTTTTAAATATATACAAAAATCTACTTGCAAATACTACTGTGCAATAACTTTACCTTCACCAGTTGTGACTTTAATTTACAGTAGCTCCCTTTTTAAATTACTCCAAGGAGTAAAACTGTTATAACTGAATTGTATAATATAGAAGATATTTATTTAATCAGACTCCTCTACATGAAAAAGTGCTTTGAGAAATAGCTCATAATGGAAATAAATCTCTTAAAGGTGAAACATAAAGGTAAAAAAAAATACGGGTGTTTTTCTTGAAATTAAAATAAAGATCTGGAATCAGAAACTATTTTGGAGCTAAATATTTTATTTATTTTACTTTTTAAAATATCACCTTGCAAGAAAAGCGATTGGATGTGAGCATGTCAATGATGCCATGAGTATTTCTTATCCACTGTCAATCAGTGGGGAAGGACAAATTGAAGGATAGGGGTAAAGCATCAGCTGCAAAAGAAATAGTGAACAAAGAATGAGAGCTTTACGAAATTAGAGAAGCAAACGAATTTAAGAAAAATACAATAAATCAGTAAAATCACCATTTATTTCTGGGGGCTTTACCTGTGGCTCCAGTGACACATGAACCAAGTAAAACCAAGCTTTCATCTAGATGTACACACTAAACAAACAATCCTACCCAGTCCCAGTGATAAGAGCATGTATTAAACTGAAAGGTGCTGCTGTTGAAATGCCCACTGCACAAGGGTTAATTGGATAGGGAGGTGAAACATGTCAGTAATTTTCCTGTGAATTAGACTGTAAATATGAAACGCCTACTGTTCCTTGAAGGACTGAGTTTCATCAGTAGACACAGAATAGTGCAGACAAATATTTTTGCTAAGTTAATGAGCTGTAGAGCCATGAATGCAGTTACCAGAAATAAACCTGGTGATTTTTTTTTCTCTTTTATCCCTTCAATTTTCTCATTGCCAGGAAGCTTGACCAATATATTGTTATGGTGTATGGGGATATTGTGACTCCCAATGTTAAAGTTGTGTTAAGTCACATTCTCTCTTAGCGCATTGTAGTATTCCTAAATTAGCGAGGCTCTGCCTAAAGAAGGATTTGAATATTCAAACATTCATTATCAAAATACTAAGGAGTCTTGATTCATATAATGAGTAGGAAAAAATGAAGATGATCAGTTGTGCTGTTATCTGCTTTACACTTGAAGATAGAAAGTGTTTTCTGAAAAAATAAGAGATAACAGGAAGAAGCTACTGGTATATCAAGCTAGTGCTTTCTGTTTTGCCTTGTTATAGTGTCTGCTTCCTTGTTTTCTTCACTCAGAACAACTGCTCACTTCACTGCTCTCTCCAGGAGCATGGATTTTCTTATGTTAGTATTTTTTGTAAAGTTTATCTGCCCAAAAACTCCAAGGTCTCCAAAGACCGGTCTGGCTCTGAAACCATCCTAATAACGTCATTAAAGTCCCTGGGCTGCAAAACACTGTTTTTCTGGTGGCTTGCCTGTGGAAAGCAGTTCAGAGGTGACTTTGTGTAAATAAAATCCTGCCAAATCTAAGTGCCAGACTGGACTTCAAGAAGTAATGTTTTGATTTAGAACATTGGTGTGGATTCAACCAATGCATTTGTATAGAAGTATTCAGCTTGCTCTCTTAACTCACAAGATTGTATGCCTTCTAATGTGGTACAGTGAACATCTAAGTGGCAAGTAAAGTGGCTGAAGACTGGTGAATGCTAATCAAATATCCTTTGCAACAGCTCAAGACATTAGTATTTTGGGGATTGTTCTCAAGATTTTCATAAGGATTAATTATGGACCAAATAAAGGAATTGTTGGTTCAAGGAGAACCCCTTCCCTCTCCAATTAAGAATTTAAAGCTGGACATGAACATTGATGGAGGGAATGCCTGGGAAATAATTCTTTTGTGCCAGGATGCGTGTGTGCTTTCCAAGAACAGCTTCTGTTGGCAAATAGCTGACCCAAAAGGTCTGGAACTAAAAAAAAGTTACAATTAATGTGGCTTGAATCATTTCCTTTTTCTGGTTAGAGGGAGAAAAATAGATACTTGGAAACAAATATATTATCCTGCTGACAGAAGAGGGAAATGACTTAAGCTGGACAGGTGATGATGAGTGGCAGAAGAAGCTGCTTCTACACGAGGATATCAAACAACTCACTGAGCATGTGTCGGGATTCTCAAAGGGCCCAGGCTTCCTAGCCCACTCTGTACATGGTACTTGCCCCCAGCACAGCATTCTATAGAGGGTGCTACTTCTCTTCCCGGATTGGTGGCTAGGAAACTGGCTTGTGGGGCTCCTTTCCGTTGAATCATTCTCTTTATAGCTGATGTGATTTTAGTCTTATACAGTACAGTATTACTGGACACATTTTTCTTGTGTGGGGAAACCCGTACTCATGCCCAATCCATTATGTACTCTTCCAGGCACTAAATTAGCTTCTGAACCTTTGCATTTAACTGCACTGAAATTAATGAATCCAAAATCATTCTGAGTCTTTTTTTTATGACAATTTTAGCCAAATTCTAGTTCTCTAAATCTTCTTGACTGAGCTGGATGTGCTGAAATTGCTGTTTTAAAAAAAAAATTTTACACCTGAAATACATAATTGTCTTATTCTGATGCTTAGGCAATTTTAAGACCCTTTAATATTTTTAATTAACGGTGATGGGTAAATTATTACTTACTTCTCCATCTTTTTTCCCCTAAAAATTTTCTTTTTGTTTTCTGGTTTCCAGTTCCCTTTGAGATGAGAGAATTTCCTGTAATCTGATTATATAGGTGAAAAGGGCTGGTCTGTTGCATTTTTTTTCCTCTTCTCACCATTCACTTGGTATAGAATTTCCTGATGATTCCCTTGAATTATCCATCTACTGGATCCTTTAAGCCTTTCTGCTCTCTGCTGCTTATTATTGGTGCTGTTCCTTTCATTTTACTTAATTAGCTTGGTCCTTGTGATGCACTTGTAGATTATATCTTAATCTGTTCTTTAAATACTTATGGTTTCATACTTTGTTTCCAGTCTCTCTTCTGACAATTTAATACCCTTTAAAATGTATCTTTTTAAACTGACAGCAGGAGTGGGATATAAAAGAAAGTTAATTCAAAGTGCTATATCATCAGTTTGGCAGCCTAAGGCACTTGAAACCAAGGAGAAAAAGATCTGCTATGTGATAGTTACTACTACCCAATAATCTTAAATGTGACATTATGATCAATAAGTCATGTTGAGCAGCTTATTTCCTAGTCCTGTGATATTGTGGTGGGTACTCTTGACTCACCTGATAAACTGGTGGGTGCAGAATGCCTGCTGCCCTTTATCAGCTGTCAAATGGCATATAATCTGCCCCCAAACTACTGTTACTTTAATTCTGGACACTACTAGTGTTGTTGAAGTCTGCCGTGTCTGGTTTTGGAGTCTCTGTACAGGCCTTCTTATAATGTGTATGGTGTCTGATCTGCCTTGTATTCTAATCTGACCTTGTATAAGAGTTCATAATTCTCCTTTTGTTATCTTTAGTCTAAGAGGTCTTTGCAAGGGTAACCAGTTTCCCTGCTTATTTGTTTTTCTGAGACTTAATATCTTCCTATCCATTTTGCTCTACCACTTCCTGCCCCACTGAATCTCTTCATATACTAGATCTGGGTAAGCCATAAAGTTTTTGAAGGTAGTCAAACTCAAACAAAGCCAAGGACTTGGCCAACCTACAAGTCAGAACATGAGCTCAAATAATTGGAATTTACACTATATAATATGAAAAATACGTAATGTCACAAATGACAACAAGGTAGAACTGCCCTAATAGTTATTTTGGCGGCTTCTCATTCATGGATCCAGAAGTGAGTCAGGCTAAGGTTTCTTTTTGCTTTTCCACTTCTAGCTTAAACCCTTTCAATTGACTTTGATGGAAGCTGGAACAGATCCATGATGCATTAAAACATTCATAGAATCATAGAATCATAGATTATAGGACTGGAAGGGACCTCGAGAGGTCATCGAGTCCAGTCCCCTGCCCGCATGGCAGGACCAAATACTGTCTAGACCATCCCTGATAGACATTGGCAGTAAGATGCAGAAATTAAGATCTTTCCTGTCTCTGATGTCCCTCACCACTTGACACCTGCTCTTCTTCCCTCATGCTTTGCGTTTGTACTCACTCTACCACCATTGATTCTGCCTTGGCTTCTGCATCTTGCATTTGCCTGTCTCTTAGTACTTGACCACTTTCAAATTGTTTCCTTAAAATGGGTGTATGTGTGTGGTGGAAGTGTACACTTTGCTGGGTAAATGTGAATGTTACATAGTGTTAGCAATGGATTACTTAATGGGGGTCCTATAACCAGCTAAAAGGAGGCTATGATGCATAATAATACCCAATCTGCAAGACAAGAACCCTGCAGGCGAATAGATAAAGTTCCAGGATATTCAGGCTATTTCTATAATTGTTCTCTACCCTCAGATGTTTTTAATGGTTTAAACAAAAATGTAACCACCTTGAGTAAGGAAGAGCTACAGATAAAAATTATGTTTATATGCTGGATTTAGTTACATGATTGATGTTAAGGTGAATGCTCCCTGGTTGAGGGTGTGTTTGGTGGTAATAGATTTTTGTGCTCAGGGTATTCAATAACAAGGTCAACTCTATTGAGAGGGTGGGGTAATAAGATTAAATCACTGATGAACGGATGATGCACATGTGGTGATATTACTTTGAAATCATTTAACTATGCTGTAACTCAACCTGTATATTATTAACTTGCAAATGCATGATCTGCAGTTCTTTTCTGGAAACTGATTTTAAAAAATGTTGGAACTGTAAAAAATTACAGAGATGTTTACGTGCAGGCTGAGCAAACATTTTTAACGGGCACTCAACCTGGGATTTGAAAGTCAGTCTGGGTTCTTAAAGGACTTGTGCATCATCATGAGTCAAAGCTATGGCAGGTCAAATTCTGCCCTTAGTTACACCTGTGGAACCCCATTGTTGCACGGGTCTAAGTGAGGGCAGAATCTGGTCCTGCTGTCAGAACCTAGTCAACAATTCAGTAGATGATCCAGCTTCCTCTCCCCAAGTGTTGTTGATGCTGTACTGCTAATGGATAAATATTATTAATAATATAATTGTCACTATAGTAAGCAGATATGACTGAACACAGACAGGGAGCAGATCTATTCAGTAAGTACTGTTTTCATGTGGACTTATTTAAAAATAGAATAACACTAAGTTCAGAAGCTGTTAAGGTGGCATGTCAGCATCACCATAGTTAATGTTTCTTCAGGATTTTGTCCTTGAGTATTAGAATGTTTACAGGGAAACTTAAATTCCTTTAACTCATCTGTGTCTTATCCATTTGCAACTAAGCATTTAAGTCATATTTTAAAAACCATTAAACATTAAGTTTAATTAACAACTAAATTACTGTCTTATCCATAGCCTAGAATCTTGATGATAAAACAGTTTTAAGTTAGTGGTCTTCTATTTATAGGGGGAAGAGTAAAAACATGGAAGCGGAGATGGTTTATTCTGATAATTGCCTGTATTATTTTGAATACACAACAGTAAGTATATATTGCTGTGACCCTGTGTCTGGAATCCAAAAGTTACTCCTGGGGGAATTCTGCGCTACTGCGCATGCACATAATTAATGAGCCACGCATACTTTTAATATTTTGCACAAAAAAAGCTTCTGCTGAAATGTTGCTGCAGTTCTTCCTTTTGCCCACCAGAGGGCGCTGTGCCGACAGACCAAAGCAGCGGCTCCCAGCCAGCAAGGGAAGAAAGAGCCTGAAGTGCCTTTGTTGCAGTGCCTGCCAGGCCAGGGGACCGGGACTATGGGGATTCACAGAGCATGGGGTGCTGTGGGGTGGTCAGACTAGGGCAGGGGATGAATAGGAGTGGAGGCACAGGGCTACAGTGGGGAGGGAGGTGCAGGGCCACATGGTGATGGGGGAGGGGTGCAGAGCTACATAGGGACAGGGGAGTGTCTGGGTGGGGGCACAGAGACACATGGGGACGGAGGGATGGGGACGGGGGACAGAGCCACAGGGGGAAGGGTGCAGGGCCACATGGGGATGGGGTTACACATGTGGACTGGGGGTACAAGGACACATGGGGTCTACATGGGGGAAAGCTCCCTAACAATCCATCCCCGCCCCCCAAATAAACCTGTTCCATACTTTTCCCACCCATACCCAACAACCCTTCAAGTTCCTTCCCAGCAGGCTCCTTCCCAGCAATTTACTTCCCTCTCCCTCATTCCTCCATCACCCAACTCCTCCAAGACTTTGCACTGCTTCTGAGGGGTATGAGAAATACAGTTCTGTATTGTAGTTTAAATGAATTATTACTCAGAGTTCTGTATTAATATGCCTAGCAAGGAATCTATTTGTCAAAAAACATTTCCTGAATCTTTTTGTTGTTGTCTGTATTGTTAGACATACTTGCTGATGGGTATTTTGAAACAAATGACCAAAAATAATTGAAACTGGTATGATTATATTGTTATTTTGACAAATAAAATATGCAGAATTTTAAAATATTATGTGCAGAATTTTTAATTTTTTTTTGGTGCAGAATTCCCCCAGGAGTAAAAAGTATAACTGAATAGTAATGTGTACTCTTCCTGTCTTTTAGGACAAAGAACCTAGAGGAATTATTCCTTTAGAAAATCTTAGTATAAGAGAAGTTGAAGATCCTAGAAAACCAGTAAGAATTTTTTCCTTTTAATGAACCTAGTAAATGGGTTATTTAAGTAACAGTCAGGGTACCCAGGTTTAGTGTACATGCGGATCTTTAGTTCTTCCTTGAATCAAGCTTTGGTTATTTCCTTATCTTTAGAACTGCTTTGAGCTCTATAACCCCAGCCATAAAGGTCAAGTAATTAAAGCCTGTAAAACTGAAGCTGATGGTAGAGTGGTAGAAGGCAACCATGTTGTGTACAGGATATCTGCCCCCACCCCTGAAGAGAAGGAAGAGTGGATCAAATCTATTAAGTGAGTTCAAAGTCTTAAATGTCTTTCAAAAGTGCTGAAGTGTAAATTGTATATAAATTCCTTTCCAAATAAAGAATCTGGGAATGTGTGCTGTACTAAGGAACATGCCTTGAAGAACTATTTAAGCAGTAGCCATAGGCAAGGGCCTTTCCTGAGGATTAATGACTAGCTGGAAGGGGTTGCTGGGGCAAGATGCGTGAAGCCAAATGAAGCACTTTGAGACATTATCGTTCTGGCTACTATGAACTGAAACTCAAGAAAATATGAGAGAACTTTAGTTGGCTAAAGAGCAGGGCCGGCTCCAGGCACCAGCTGAGCAAGCTGGTGCTTGGGGCGGCAGATTGTTGGAGGCGGCATTCCGCCCAATCCTAGGGTGGCACGGCCACTTCCCCCCCCCCCCCCGCCCCCGCTCTGGCCGCCCTGTAGGGGGCGGCGGCGGCGCGGAGAACCAGAGCGCCCTGCAGGGCAGTCCTCTTCCTTCCCTCCCCGCCGACCGGAGCGGCAGGAGGCGGCACCCCTGCTGTAGCCCTGGCCACCCCCTTCTCTCTCTCTCCTGCCCGCTCCCACCCCCTCCCCCCCAGCCGGTCCCCCTGTACCCGCGCTCCGGCGCGCCACAGGTTGTTTTTTGTTTTTGCTTGGGGTGGACAAAAAACCAGAGCCGGCCCTGCTAAAGAGAAAAGAATGTAGCTAACTACCTGAAAATCTTGTTGCTGATTTTTGTAAGGATGCGTTTGTTTACCAACATATTACAGCTCTGGGTCTCTGGATATGGAAAAGTAAACAAATGTGTTTGGGTAATACATAATTTATAAACTAAATTGATATCTCCTCCTCCTTCCACTAGAGCAAGTATCAGCAGGGATCCCTTTTATGATATGCTGGCAACAAGAAAGAGAAGAATTGCTAATAAAAAATAGCACTTAACATCGGCCACTTACGGACCTGCACTAGTTAATGTATAAATGGATCAAAGTCAAGTGATAAGGTAAAGTAAAAATGAAGCAAGCTGAATGAAAAGTTATTAGAAATATATTCTTACATTATATCCCTTTGTAAGATCATCCAAGAAGATTATTATTTTGCATACGATACTGGAGCAAAATTCCCAAGGGACAATTGCAAGGAATGACTGTAATGGAATTTCATTTACACTAACTGAAAACATGGAAGCCTTATGTGCATTTTTATTTGTTGCAATTTCACTTTTCGGGGGAGAAAATATTTCAGGATAATATATTCTCCTGCCTGTTCCTTGAGCATATTGCCCATGACAGGAGATGATGTAAGGACTTCGACAAACTAACACCTCACTGTAATACAGCACTCAGAACTGGTGTACAGGGCTACTCAGCACTTATTTTTCCTTATGCAAAAAAACCTTAATACTAGTTTTGAAAACATATCCTTAGCAATGCAGCAGCATTCTAACCCCACTTTATAGAAAATGAAATTCTAAAAGCTCATCACATTAGCCATTCTTACCCCAATGCTGAATAGTATTAGCTTTAAAATATACCTTTTCATATTAGACTGTTATCTATACAGTTAAGTCCTTGGCCCAAGCAGTAGGCTGTGCACTGAAAATATGCAGCTACAAGGCAAGGGTTCATGGGCTGAAGAAGTGACTTTGAGGACAGATTTTTTCTTAAGCAGGCTAAACTTGGATTTGCATTATTATTACTGAGAATCTCTGATTTTGTATGGGTCAAATGCTCCAAAATTACACTGATTTTCTTTAAAGAAGGGGCAGTGTTAAGTTCCTCCTTATTTGTGAGTTTAGCCCTATGAAAGTCAATAGGATTACTTGTATGAGTAAAGAGAGCAGTACTTGGTTAACCAAAACCTGGAATAAAGCAAACAATGTCTCTGTATGTTTTGTTTTTAAACATGGCTTCTCACATTTGTGCTTCAGTGACTTAAAACTGGGGAGAAGAGGGAATAGAAAATCCTAATTGTTAGATCTCATGCCATCAACTCTACTAAAATACTTATCTAATATAACCATTTACTTTCAAATATCTTGATAACTGGTTGAATGTCTTTTGTTGTACAGGAACTCCTCACTAAACGTTGTAGTTATGTTCCTGAAAAATGTGACTTTAAGCGAAACTATGTTAAGCAAATCCAATTTCCCCATAAGAATTAATGTAAATGGTGGGTTAAGTTCCAGGGATATATAGATAGATATACACTTACACACACACAGTATAAGTTTTAAACAAACAATTTAATACTGGTACACAGTGATGATGATTGTGAAGCTTGGGTGAGGTGGAGGAGTTAGAGGGTGGGATATTTTCCAGGGAATGCCTCACTGCTAAATGAACTAGCACTTGACTGAGCCCTCAAGGGTTAACTCACACTCTGCGAGGCAGCAGGAAAGGAGGGAAGGCAGACAGACACACACCCTGTGTGTGAGAAAAAATGTGCATTTCCCCTTTAAGTAGCTGACCCCAGGCTTAAGTACACTGCCCTGTTAATTAAATCAGCTTTCTGGCACCTCCTGAGACAACAGCTACTGCCTAGAGGCTCCCTCCATAGTGTGTCTCTCCCCCCTTCCTGCTCTATGGAAGATGGGGTAAATGGGATGCAGGAGCAGGGGGGAGGGAGAGACGCCCTGACATTAGCCCTCCCCTTCCCCCGTACAGCAAGCAGGAGTCTTGGGGAGCAGCTCCAAGGCAGAGGGCAGGAGCAGCACGTGGCAGTGGGGGGAGGGACACAGCTGAACTGCAGGCAGCTGCTGCACAGGGGACTTAGGGGAGTGGGGAGCTGATAGGGGGGGTGCTGGTCCACCCTGGTTCCAAGCCCCCACCAGCTAGCTGCAATAGGTTGCTCTTCCTACAAGCAGTAGACAAAACAGGCGGCTGCCAAAAGACCGTTAGACAGGAGCATTTCACAACTTTAAACGAGCATGTTCCCTAATTGATCAGCAACTTAACATCGAAACAACGTGAACCAGGATGACTTTAAGTGAGGAGTTAAAGTATTTTATGAGATATTCCTTCATAACATCCATTAGCTAAGACACACAAACTTATGGTCTAGCCTACTTTATTGAAACATTTTCTTTTCTAAATTCTACAAAAATCTTTCATTGGGGCAAAAATGTCTTTTAAATTTAATTTTATGATGGAAAAATTTTTTGACCCTGCTCCTGTGTTCATGCTCTTGTAGCTTTCCATATATTGTTTCAACCTGAGCCATGGCATCTGTGCCATTAGTACTTTAGAGCTTCCATATCTGGACAAAGAAAACACAGCTGTTGACTTAAACCTACAAAAGCAACTTTGACTAAAGTGTAGGGAATTATTCTGCACTGGGAGATACATGGACAAGATTGCCTATAAGTCTTTCATCTCTAACTTCAATAAAAGCCAAGGCTTCCATCTTACTAACTTGCCTTGTGCTATGTGGAACCTAAGATCAGCATATGAATACTGTGGGCACTGTCTGCCTTCAGATGGGCTGATAGAGAATTTCCTTTTTTGATTTTTTTTCCAGTTGTAATCTCTTTAAAGGCGTATTAAGGTTAATGCTCAGTTATGACAGCTTTGAAACCATGGGGGAGGGGTAGCATCTCCAATCCATGGAGCCAGGACTTCAAGGCTAGTTGTGGACTCGGTGCATAATTAGAACTTTAAAAATTAGAATATTCCACTGCACAACTCTCAAATCACAACCTGTTTCTCCTCTCAGCCCCCCTACTTTAAAAAGTCTAACTTAACATAGAAAAGTATTAAGGCTGTCAAGCAATTAAAAAAATTAATTGCGATTAATCGCAGTTAAACAGTAATAGAATACCATTGGATGTTTTCTACATTTTCAAATATATTGATTTCAATTACAACACAATACAAAGAGTACAGTGCTCACTTTACATTTTTTTTATTATAAGTATTTGCACTGTAAAAAAACAAAGTATTTCAATTCACCTAATACAAGTACTGTAGTGCAATCTCTTTAGCATGAAAGTTGAACTTAAAGTGTAGAATTATGTGCAGAAAATAACTGCATTCAAATACAAACAATGTAAAACTTTAGAGCCTGCAAGTCCATTCAGTCTTACTACTTGTTCAGCCAATCACTCAAACAAGTTTGTTTACATTTGCAGAAGATAATGCTGCCTGCTTCTTGTTTACAATGTCACCTGAAAGCAAGAACAGGTGTTCTTACAGCACTGTTGTAGCAGCATTGCAAGATATTTACATGCCAGATGCACTAAAGATTCAGATATCCCTTCATGCCCAGACAGCAAAAGTGAAAAATCGGGACTGGAGTAGGGGGTAATAGCCTATATAAGAAAAAGACCCCAAAATTGGGACTGTCCCTATAAAATCAGGACATCTGGACACCCTACAACCACCATTTCAGTGAACATATGTCCATGCTGATGAGAGGTTCTGATCGATAACAATCCAAAGCAGTACGGACCGATGCGTGTTCATTTTCGTCATCTGAGTCAGAAGCCACCAGCAGAAGGTTGATTTTCTGTTTTAGTGTTCAGGTTCTGTAGTTTCCTCAGCAGAATGTTGGTCTTTTAAGACATTTGAAAGCATGCTCCACACCTCGTCCCTCTCAGATTTTAGAAGGCACTTCAGATTCTTAAACCTTGGGTCAAGTGCTGCAGCTATTTTTCGAAATCTGACATTGATCCCTTCTTTGTGTTTTGTCAAATCTGCAGTAAAGTGTTCTTAAAATGAACGTGTACTGGGTCATCATCTGAAACTGCTATAACATGAAATATATGGCAGAATGCACGTAAAACAGAGCAGGGGACATAAAATTCTCCAAGGAGTTCAGTCACAAATTTAATTAACGCATTATTCTTTTAACAAACGTCATCCGCATAGAAGCATGTCCTCTGGAATGGTGGCCAAAGCATGAAGGGACATATGAATGTTTAGCATATCTGGCACGTAAATACCTTGTAATGCTGGCTACAAAAGTGCCATGCAAACACCTGTTCTCACTTTCTAGTGATATTGTAAATAATAAGAGGGCAGTGTTATTTCCAGTAAGTGTGAACAAACTTGTTTGTCTTCGCAATTGGCTGAACAAGAAGTAGGACTGAGTGGACTTATAAGCTCTGAAGTTTTACATTGTTTTGTTTCTGAGAGCAGTTATGTAACAAAGTCTACATTTGTAAGTTGCACTTCGAGGATACAGAGCTTTCACTTCAGTACTTGTATGAGGAGTACTGAAAAATACTATTTCTTTTGTTTCTTTCACAGTGCAAATATTTGTAATTGAGAATAATATACACTGATTTCAATTACAACACAGAATACTTTGGATTTTTTCTACATTTTATATATAAAGTATTTAATACATTTCAATTGGTATTCTGTTTAAGTGTGCGATTAATCTCGATTAACTCAAAAAAATTGAATCATGTGAGTTAACTGCAATTAATTGACAGCCCTAAAAAGTATGTTTTGTTAAGGACTGTGTGTTAAGGGGGTGGGGGTGTAGCTGGAAACATTTGGATTTGTAATAGAAATGGTGACAAATCCAGAACTATGGTTGTATAAAGGTGTAAAACCATAAACAAATAATTTAAATCATTAAATAAGTCTAGAAGGTTACAAAAGCATTGATGGGCCATGAGCACTTTCTGTACCAGTCCTTACATCCCTGAAAAACACAACCCTTTGAAAACAGTCTACTTATTTTCAAGGATATTTGTCTGTAAGCATGAAGGAAATGCCTTAGGAGATGTGATATGCTGTATTTAGTTTGAAACTTTTCATACCCTGTACATCTAATACTTGGAACGGTGTGTAACTATGGCATGTTATAGCAGGAAATACATACTATTCCTTAGCATTTTAAAAAGCGGTAACTTGTGTCCATTTTTTTTATTCTGAATGAAAGATTAAATATGGTGCTCAATATAATTAATTTACCACCAAAGGTGCCAGTAGTATTCTTGTGTAAGAATATTTTATTTCAAATGTTCTCTGTAGCAGTATTAGCAGGGATTGAAATTGAGCCAAAATTTCCACTGGCCTTAAACCATTTTTCTTTGCAAATTAATTTTTTACTAGACTTATGAAAATTTTGGCCAGATTAGGTACTGTCCATGAGGGGATGAAAAGGCCTCTCTCGTGAGGATTTAAGGTTAGGATGAGCTTAAGGCAAGCCACCATCATGGCCTAAAGCACAATTGCTTTTTCTGAGGCTAGGCCAGCAAAAACAATCTAATTGCAGTTGACTTCCCCAGTCCTGTTTGTATTGAAAAATCTCCCTATTTTCCAGTTCTTAAGAGGTTCTGATGTCATAGCAGGATTGGGTTTTTTTATACTACCCGTTAAGCAACATGGGGACAGTAGGCAGAGATCCTGGCAACAGACTGCTGCTTCTGCTACTTTTCTGGCCCCTGCCAGCCTCCAAAACTTTCATGGCCCTAGGTCACTACTAATTTCAACTTCAGTTAGTGTCATCTAGGGAAGAAAGTGTATATAATACTTAAGATCAGCTGGACTGATTAAAAAGCTACATAACCTGACAAAAAGCTCTTTTTAGTAAGTCACTTAACATTTTGAAGCATATGGTACAAAACTGAACCTTTTTAAACTCAGCATTTATAATGCTTCATAAATAGAGCAATGCATATTTTTAAATTTTAATACATATCTATCTAGATATGCTTGCTGGAAAAGTTAGATCTCTTGTAGATGAGAAGCTACAAATGGTGGTTTACCATTTTTTTTCCTATATTTTCTTGGAAAGCATTTCTATTTACAGTTCAGTATAAAGTTAATGTAAATACTGTACAGCTATGTATTGATTTGTTACGCATTGTACACAATTTGCATGGAAATTATGTATCAAGTAAGTCTGAGGTAATATTATAACTCTGTAAATCCATTGCAAATATTAATGGGCTCGTTTACCAGTAAGACATGTTTAAACTGTGGTGAGATTTCATTTTGAAAAATAAAATAAAGTATGAAACTATACAGCCATCCAGCTCCTTTCGTTTACTGAGGATAAAAGTACAGAATAAGGGATCCAACTGCTCAAGATTTTGATACAGATTAAGATTTAGCTTACTCCAAAAGCAGTTACTATGCAAGTGGCTATCAAATCCAAAACTTCCCGTCTCAGCTCTGGTCACAATGACTCTTTAAATTACTTAACTTTTGCTCATTCTGCCTTACAAACCAGACATTTTCTTTCATTATGTTAATATCTGACCTAGGCATTATTCAGTAAACCACTTAAGCATGTAAGTGCTATCCTGAAGACACTTTCCTCATTTGGGGCTTTAAATAGGGTAAAGTAATAACTGATGCTTGCTCACTTCTCTTGATAGACAGGGTGCAAAGATGAATGACCTCTCTCTTTTCCTTTAATCAGATAAGAGGCACTGAAAAGGAAAATGTAGGTGTATCCAAAGCCAGAGAATTAAAGTTTCAGCTGCTTTGAAATATCAGGCGTGGCAAGGCATGGCATGGGTTGCAGCCTCCTTGATCTCAGATGCAGACTGAGAGGTGTCAGCCCTTAACTGAAAAGGTAGAGTACATGTTAAAGATGTAATAGACATCTCTTTTCCCTAAGTGTTTATATTAAACTCAAGTTCCTGCCAAGCAAACTTTAACTACTCTGGACAAAAATCACTTTCTTCATCAGGTTTCAGTTGCTTAGTGCCTGTTTAAACCTACTAATTCTCCACTCATCCAGAATCTTTCAGGAAAAACAGGTCTATTTTCTACATGAAAAGAATAAAACTGCTCAAATTGAGTTTTCCGTCGCAAGCTACCTTTGGGGCAAGCTATTTTACAAAGCTGGTCAACGGCAAATGCCGAGTTTCCTATGAAACCTGATCACAAACTTACTTTGTATTTACTTTTTTTTTCCCCTCCCAAAAATTCTTGAATGCAAAACTTTACCCTAGGCTAGTGGTATTTAGCAGCAGCTCTAAGGACCAGTTTTAGTGATGTTGAAAGAGAGAAAACAGCTCAAACTCCAAGCTTTTCTGACCAAACAAGTAACTGATTTCACAGCAAACACAGTAAGGTAAAACAGACAAACTGGAGAGATGAGCAGTAGCGGTCATTCCTAATAAGGGGAGAGTCTACTAAGACGAGCGTAAGGTACAAAATATGAGGCTTGGGGAACAAAACCAAGCAGCTACAAGTTTACTTTCTCACAACTGAGCTATTACTTTTCATGTAAATACATGATTTGTTGCCACAGGGAAGTGCGGAGAGTTAGAAGTGTATTTATGACAAGCTCGGTCTTAAGGCCTTTCACAGGGGACAGCAGAAGCACCATAGGCAGTCATAACTTGGTGGAAAATAGAATATTAGGAACAGATGGAAGAATGGTCATTCCCCTCTGCTAACATGAATCAATCCAATCATTTAAAAGATAAATATAGTTGAGCTTTGACCACACCCCCTTTATCATCTGACATTAAGGCAGAGCTACAATTAAGCTTTTCAGCCCTTCAGTGCACTGTTCTAATGGGTAGAAGTTGAATAAATAACTCAAGAAGTAAACAGTGTAAAAAGCTCTTTTGACTTTCCTGTATTTATATACTATATAAATTTTACATGCTATGTATTTACAGTGGGGCAAGTGCTTTATCTTTAAAAAAACAAAGATCAAACTTTAGACATCTCTGAACAACACAGCTTGTATAAACCAGACAGATTATACAGATGAACTGTATTTAATACAGCTTCCCCACTCCATCTCCTGATGCAGGACCAGTGAATTATAAGTATCACAGTTTGATAGCATTTCATAATAAAAATAAAATCACAGTATGAATTTGTCTGCAACTTTAAAGGGACAAAACAGACAACTGAGACCAATCAGTCAAGACAAGTGACACTATATAAAAAAGTAACAAAAACATATGGGAGGGTATACAAATAGTCTCGGAGATACATTCAGAACTGTGTATGCTGAGTGGTATGTTTCACAAAGTTCCAAACCAGAACTTTTCTTGTAAGTTTTTCTTCAAAGCTTTAATACAGCTAAAGTGTGAAGTAAATTAGTTTCTAGTGTCAGATATCAGAGATATTCTAGTTATCTGAAAGCTTGTGAATAAGTCTTTAAATTAAATATACAGACTGTCAGTTGTGGTTTGCTAGTCGCTTGCACCAGAAGTTTAACGTGGAGTAATATTACATGAATAACACATAATCAACCTGAGTCTGTAATTAAGCAGCATTTGAGATGTTCTATTCCAGGGCATTATTTTCAGTGTGATATTTACAATGTTCAGCAGTTGTAGAAAGTTTCCATCCTTTTGGATTATGGGTAAATTTTAAAAAAAAGTCTCAAGGTAAAAACTAAAAAAAGTTCTTCCATGGTAAAATCCTGTACAGTATTCTGAAGCACCAGTTATGGATTGAAGAGTTAATTGTTCTGTTATAAATATAGTTTAAACTGTAGGGATGGCTTCCATCAACACACTTTGAATCTGAAAGACAAGAGGAGGAAGCGTCATTTCCTGATATGAAATTTCAGCACTAAATCAGATTCCAAGGCCATTTAATCTGACCTTCTATATAACACAGGCCACAGAACTTCCCTGAAATAATTCCTAGAGCATATCTTTTAGAAAGACATCCAATCTTGATTTAAAACTTCAGTGATGGAGAATCCACCATGACCCTTGGTAAGTTGTTCCAGGAGTTACTCTCATGGTTAAAAATGTACACCTTATTTCCAGTTGGAATCTGTCTAGTTTCAACAGACCGCTATTGAATCATTTTATGCCGACGCTGCTAGACTGAAGAGCCCATTATTAAATTTGCTTCCCATGTAGATAGATTAATCAAGTCACCCATTAACCTTCTCTTTAATCTAAATAAATAGACTGAAAGAGCTCAATCACTAGAAGGCAGGTTTCTAATCCTTTAATCATTCTCATGGCTCTTCTTTCAACCCTCTCCAATTTATCAACATTCTTCTTGTTCTGGTGCCCACATTTCTGCACAGAGTATTCCAGTAGTGACTGCACCTCTGCCAGCTATACAGGTAAATACCTCTCTACTACTTCTCAAGATTCCTGTTTTGATTTCTTAACAACAGTTAAGGCCTGAAGTTGCAGGTGCTCCATATCATGTGTAGCTACAGCTCTGAACCACATATCAAAACAGAAGGATTTCAAAACTGAATGCAACCAATGCTGTCCTCAACTTACAAGGTTGCTGAGTTTAATCCTAGGTAGGCAAACCTGGTTGGAATTTAGCCAGGACATTCCTAAGATTAAATACCCTGGTTTCATTAATGATCTATCATGGTCAAGCTTTCCCCCCAAAAATGACACCCCCAGCAACTTGCTGGGGCTCTGATTTAAGAATGACAGAGGGACAAATGCCACTCAAAGTCAAAAGTTCTGTTTTATGCAGCACCTGGATTTTTTTAAGCCTCCAGCCCACTCACTAGCCAGCTTCAGCCATTTAGTTTATGAAATCTGACAAGATTCCCAACCCAAGATAATGGCCCTCAATTCCACTGTCACTCTTGTCTTGTACTCATATGTGCGTCCCATCAGCTAGTTAGCCCTATAACTTGGTTTGATTTTCATACCCTCTCCAAGCATTTGTTCCATCCTTTTGAGTTAACTCATCATTCAGAAACTGCTTAATCCTTTGTATTGTCTCATCTTTTCTACAGTCTAAATCAGGGGTGGGCAAACTACAGCCCAGGGTCCAAATCAGCCCTTCAGATGTTTTAATCTGGCCCTCGAGCTCCTGCTGGGGAGTGGGGTCTGAGGCTTGCCCCGATCCACGTGTGCCATGGCACCACCCAACTCCTGGAAGCAGAGGCATGTCCCTGCTCTGACTCCTATGCATAGGGGCAGCCAGAGGGCTCCACACCTTGCCTCCGCCCCAAGTGCTGCCCTTGCAACTCCCATTCGCAGGAACTGCAGCCAATGGGAGCTGCAGGGGCAGCACCTCTGGACAGGGCAGCATGCAGAGCCACCTGGCCACACCTCTGTGTGGGAGCCAGAGGGGGGACATGCCACTGCTTCCGGGAGCTGCTTGAGGTAGGTGCCGCCCGGAGCCTGCACCCTGACCCTCTCTTACACCCCAACTCTGATCCCCCTCCCACCCTCTAAAGCCCTTGGTCCCAGCCCAGACCCCCCTCCTACATCCTCAGCCCCACCCCAGAGCCCACACTCCCAGCTGGAGACCCCACACTCTCCACTCACCCCAACCTGCTGCCCCAGCTCAGAGCCCCTGCACCCTTAACTCCTCATTTCTGGCCCCAACCCAGAGCCCGCACCCCCAGCAGGAGCCCTCACCCCCTCCTGCACCCTAGCCCCTAATTTCGTGAGCATTCATGGCCTACCATACAATTTCCATACCGAGATGTGGCCCTCAGGCCAAAAAGTTTGCCCACCCCGGTCTAAATAAAGCCAACTGATTTCCTTAAGTATATGAAAAGGTTAAAATTCCTCAGACTTAGGAGGTTACTCTGCCCAGCACTGTCACCACAACAGTATCATCCTGCCTATTGTGCAGGGCAGTATTTTGAAGAGGGAATATAATTTTTTGGATTTTGTTACTGTAACATTTTTGCCCTACACCACAATAAATCACAACACACAAAAACAATGCATTTGGTGATTTATTTAACACACACTTGCTTCCTTTCCATAGATTTTACTTGTCTGTACTGAACCAATTTTGCCACCTGCTGGCCAACTCTCGTTCATTACAGACAAAATCCTTTAAAATCTGATTATAATTTTTCTCTGCCTTCTATTTTCTTCTCTAAAACTGGAATATATAGGCTTTGGAACAGCGAGGACTGCACCTACACTTTTCACATTAAAAATTCCACATTTCTCAAACTGTTATTTGAGATGCTTGTTAGTTCTTGGGAAGAGAAAATGATACCATTAAAATGTTACCTATTTGTGGTAACTACCAGTGTGTATATAGACATGGATTTTTCAATTAAATTAATATAAAGAACTATATTGCTACTGCTTTGCTTCCTTGGCAGAGGGACAGAAATGGCTTGCTGGAATTTAGGTAGTAGCAATAGAAATCTGCAGTTGATCAGCTTCTCACACTGAAGAAGAGGGGAACTATGGCAACTACCTACATTTTAGGAATCTGAGGGCAGCCCCAGCCCCTGGATACCAAGATCTACAAATACCTTGTTTTCAATATCCTCACTCAAAATATTTCTAGATATTATGAACCCATTTCCATCGTTAGTAGTTTCTCCCTCTACAGTTAACCTCCATCTCTTGTCCTGAAGGGACTTTTCAGGGCAGAACGTTACTCTTAGGCTATGTCTACACTACAGACCTTACAGTGGCCCAGCTGTGCCCCTGTAAGGTCTCACATGTAGCCGCTCTATGCTGGCGGGAGAGCTCTCCCACTGGCATAATTAAACCATTTCTAATGAACAGCGCTAGCTATGTCAGCAGGAGAGCGTCTCCCACTAACCGAGAACTGTCCACAGCAGTGCTTTAGTTGGTGAAACTTATGTCGGTCAGAGGTGTTTTTTAATACCCCTGACCAACAAAAATTTTGCAGACAAAAGTGCTAGTGTAGACAAAGCCTTAGTGTAATTGCAGTTTACATTAAGCCATAGAAACAGCTGCTTTTAAAAATAAATAAACGAAGAGTCATTCCAATAGGAAGACTAGCAGATCACCACAATTTAAATCAAGTTTAAAGGAATGTCTCCCTGTGTTAATAATCCTCCAGCAGTAACGCACAATGCAGCTCACAACTTTTGAGATGCTGAAGTTCACTTGTTATCTATGCTAGAATGACACTGCCAACACTCTTTGACCATTAGAGCAGGCAGTAAGATGCTGATTTTTCACCTCAAAGTTATATGCATCTTCAGGCCACAATTTGTTAGCAACAGAGCTCCCCTCACCCAATTGCCAAGGACATAAAAAATACTGAAGATTGACAAATACAACTTGCCTGTGGCTAGTGAGTTTTTTCTGCAAGGATTACTTTTCACTCACCTACAAGAGAGGAAAACAGGTTGGCAAAATCTCAGCTGTTATAAAACCAGTGTAATTCAGTTGCTACTTTACAGAGCACTGCTGTGTTAGTGTTGAGAAAAAACAAAATCCTGGGTAAGTACTACAATCAATTGGTGTATACAGTGTAGTTGTAGCTTGTTGTTTCCAGGATATTAGGGAGACAGGGTAGGTGAGGTAATATTTTATTGGATCAACTTCTATTGATGAGAGAGACTAGCTTTTGAACCATTCAGAGTCTCTTCTTCAGGTTTGGGAAAGATAGATACTCAGGGCATGTCTTCACTACCATATTAAAGCGCTTGTTTAGTTGCGGAATAGCACTGGAAGAGAGCTCTCCCAGCGCTATTAAAAACCCACCTCCACAAGGGAAAAGCTCCCAGCACTGAGAGCGCAGCTGCCAGCACTAGTGCACTGTCTACACTGGCACTTTACAGTACTGAAACTTGCAGCACTCAGGGGAGTGTTTTTTCACACCCCTGAGCAAGAAAGTTGCAACGCTGTAAAGTGCCAGTGTAGACAAGCCCTCAGTGTCACGGCTAAATGCAAGGTGGAACAGATTGTTTAGCATAAGTAGTTAGGGTTTATTCTAAGGGACCATTCAAAATAGAGTGGCCTGTTAACACCTCTGCAGTCATAGGACAAAAATAGGGTGTTAGTGGATTACAGATTGTTGTAATAAGTCAGGGGTGGCCTGAACCTCCCAGGCACATACAATAATTTTCAGAAGTACGAGAGCCAGGTGTGCCTGCTGGGGCTCAGGGCTACTGCTCTGCAGTGGGGTGGTGGGGTTTGGGGCCTTGCGCAGGCAGAATCCCCAAGCCCCACTACCCTGCTGCAGGGCAGGAGCCCCAAGGTCCCCCCCCTCCACCTCCAGGGTGGTAAGCAGAAATGGGAGGTGTAGGGGGCTCCACAAGCCACACTAACTGTAAAAGCCGCATGCAGCTCAGGAGCCACGGTTGGGCCATCCCTATAATGAACTATGAATCCAGTGTCTCTATTCAGTCCCTGATTTTTAGTGTCTAGCAATTGGTGCTTAATTTTTGGAAACAACTCTTAATCTGTACCAATCTATAGCAATACAAGTAAAAATGAAATTAATCTGTTACTATTCATATTTGGTATTTGGATACCTGGAACTATCTAAATTTCTCTGATCTAAAGATGGTACTAAATAGTTAGTTTATGAACATTTTCATAAGAAAAAGTTATTTTAAACAAGAAAATTTTGTCAAGAACTTAATTTTCAGCCACTGATAGCTGTATGGTTCATCAAGGCTACAGCTGATGCTGAAGGGTTAAAAAACATTCATTCAAAGCCATCTGGTATATTGGTGTTAGGCGAGAGCAGTAGGAGAGAGTCCAACACGTATTACATTTAGAATCCAAATTAGGATTGTATTTTTTGTTCTATATGAGAGATGTCAAATTGATCTCTTATGGTAATAAAAATAGGGAAAAAGCCTGCAGCAGCCAATTTGTCTGTATTATTATACCCAAAATGAAACAGAATCACAGGAATTTAACATACTTTCCATCTGGTTTCATCTGTATATGCAAAGTTGCCATCCAAAGATTTAATGACTGTGTGTCCATGGTCCTTATGACAAAGTAGGTCTATAGCTGAAACAGAAAATATTTCAATGTTAACAAAACCCACTTATCACAAACTAGCATTATTTTGATTAACAAGTCAGCACTTTTAGTATAAACAAATTGTTACTGGGGCAGTGTTTCCAATGAAGTGACTCATTTTGGCAGCCTTTGTTAATAAGATGTTTTATTGGATTGCTACTAATCTGTATCTGGATGTCACATAGCATCATCTCCCATCTTGATTACTGAAATTTTCTTCCCTTACTTCACTCCTTCCCAATCTGTCCAAGATGCAGCTTCCAAATTATCTTCCTGACTGATCAGAGTGAATTTACTGTCCTCTCTGAATTCCTTCACTGGTTCTCCAATTAACCACCACGTCAAGTTTAAACTAAACTACTCATTCGTACCTTTCAAAGCCCTTCACAACTCTGTCCTTACCTACATTTCAGACCTCATCCCCTAACTCAAATCCTCCACCAACTAACTATACCAGTTTCAATACCTTGTTAATCTCCTCCATTTATGTGCATTGGACCATGCCACTCCTCTACATGAAATACTCCCCCAATCCTAATTTGTCAAACTACCATTCTGTCTTCATGCAATCCCAAGAAAGTATAGTCCAGTTGATAGAACATTGGACTGGGAGTCTGATTTGGATTCAGTCCCAGCTCTGCAAGGACCTTGGGCAAATCAGTTAACCTTTATGCCTCAGTTTCCCTATCTGCAATATGGTCATGATACTGATCCAGATTTATGAAGTAATTTCAAATCTTCAGATAAAAAGAATTATAAGAGCAAAGCATTATTAAAAAAACTACTACTTCAAGGACCTTAACTGAGTTTATACAGCAATTAATAAAACAACTAATACATCCCCCACAGGGAGACTTCTAATGTGTCCAATCTTAAATCTTCCTTAATTCTTGATCTCTTTGGAGCAGGGATTCTCTGGGTGGTGCACTGCTGACCATCTTTTTGCTTCTCCCTTACATGGTTTCTTGTATTTACAAAAGGGTGGGTAAAATTGTTTTTTTTGTTCGTTTTTTTTTTTAGAAAAGTCAGATTTTTAATTTAAAGTAAATAATTCTTAAATCCATTTAAAATTACATATGAAATTATGATTTTCTATAATCTATTAAAATAATTTAAATAAAAAATATGGTGCATCTATGAGCCCTCCTCAAGTTTAAAGGAAATAAACGGTGCTGCTTTTTTAATTATATACAGAATCAGGAGGAAAATATCTAACTTTTAGGGCCAACTCAAGCTTTGTAACAATATGTACTGCATTAAGTACCTATTATTTTCAGTCTTTACAATGGAGTGATTTACATTTTCCCAAATATCAGTACTTTCAGTTTCTGTTGTGCAGAAAAGCTTTTGCCTTAATTACTTTGTTTAGCTAGCAAATGCAGAGAATATTTTCTTCATTTGGACTAGTTCATTCAAAGTTGAAAAATTGAATGGGAGCTGACAAAGTAGGAAAACTTGTTTTCTCTTCCACTCTATAAATAAAAACTATCTATGCATCTGAAGAAGTGGGCTGTAGTCCACGAAAGCTTATGCTCTAATAAATTTGTTAGTCTCTAAGGTGCCACAAGTACTCCTGTTCTTCTTTTTGCGGATACAGACTAACACGGCTACTACTCTGAAACCTGGGAAAGGAGGAGATCTACTCATTGTAAAAACCTGGACAATGGGCCAGATTTTCAAAGGTATTTAGGCCTAAAGATGCACTGGGGCGGGGGGGATGGGTGGGAAGGGATTGATTGATTTACCTTGGGTCCTCACGGCGCGGGATCGAGGGCCATGGCTCCCCCGTCAACTCCGCTACCGCCACTTGCTCCAGTGGAGTTCCGGAGTCGATGGGGAGCGTGTTCGGGGATCGATATATCGCGTCTTAAGACATAATATATTGATCCCCGATAAATCGATCGCTACCCACCGATACGGCGGGTAATCTGGACGTACCC